TTGTTCTTTGAAGCTTGGCGACTGGGTCCCTTGTACGCAGCTATAAGAGAAGTTTTAATGGGTTTGCAGCCAAGCTAAATAAGCGCGAGAAACAAAAACTTGAGAGTTAGTAATAATTGCAAAATATATATCTATATATATAATCGATATCTCATCGATCTAAATTATGTCTTATTTCTCATTGTTGTATATGTAGGTATGGATGGCGTGTTATCGGTGTTTCCAAGTAGAACCCTCCAGCTTCATACAACCAGATCCTGGAATTTCATGGGTTTAACTGCGAAGACCAAAAGACAACCCAATGCTGAGAGTGATGTGATAGTTGGTGTCCTCGACRSTGGAATCTGGCCCGAGTCTGAAAGTTTCAGTGATGAAGGATTCGGCCCTCCTCCCAAGAAATGGAAGGGTACTTGTAATGGTGGCAGCAATTTCACCTGCAACAAGTAATTTTCTTCACTCCGTGTCTCCATCTTCTTTCTTGTAATAATGCATGATGATATTTGTTGTATTATTAATCAGTATGGGGGTTAATTGAATTCTCTGTCCATTTATATATCTCGAGATGATGAAAACATATATTGATCATGCCTTGCATTCAAAGTTGTAAGTTATGTAATGATCTAACTATGACACTGTCTCTCAACAATATATCTGGATTGTAACTATTGCAGTAAGCTCATTGGTGCTCGAGTTTACAGTTTGAATGATGAAACTGCAAGGGACAAGGAAGGACATGGCACACACACTGCTTCAACAGCAGCAGGGAACAGAGTGGTGAATGTGAGCTTTTATGGATTGGCTCGAGGAAATGCAAGGGGGGGAGTTCCATCAGCTAGAATTGCTGTTTACAAGATCTGCAACAGTGTAGGTTGTCGTGAAGAAGATATCCTCTCTGCCTTTGATGATGCCATTGCTGATGGCGTAGATATAATCTCTATTTCAGTAGGGGGAGCTCAAGCATTTGATTTCTCTTCAGACTCCATTGCTATTGGTGCATTTCATGCCATGGCGAAAGGCATCTTAACCTCGAATTCTGCTGGGAATAGTGGTCCGTTTGCAGCCTCAGTTTCAAGTGTTGCACCATGGATGTTTTCTGTAGCAGCCAGTAGTACAGACCGTCAAATTATTGACAAAGTTGTTTTAGGGGATGGTACAAAACTTGTGGTAAGCATATCAACCACTTCTTTTACTATTAATCTTCAGTTATTTCAAAATTCCAAACTTACATTTGGTCCATCTTCTTTGATGGGTACAGGGTAAATCTGTTAATTCATTTGGTGCAAGAAATAGAAAAGTTGATCTTGTATATGGCAGAAGTGCTTCAACGAAATGTGATCCTGATAGTGTTCAGTATGTTTCATCTGTAGATTAATTGATAGAATTAATTTCAAGTTGAGAGAGAGAGTACTTGGCACTAAGTTTTTTTCTTTTTTTTTTCTTGTGCTTCATTTCAGGCTTTGCGCTTCTGATTGTTTAGATGGTGATTTGGTAAAGGGGAAGATTGTGGTATGTGATAAGATTTCAATAGGAGAGGAACCTATGCGAGTGGGTGCTCTTGGRACAATCATGATAGATAACGAATTAAATGATTTTAGTTTAATTTATCCTCTTCCTGCAGTACTGTTAACCCCTGAGAATGGGGAGAATCTCAAGCTTTACATGAATTCCACAAGGTAAGCCCTCCGTTGATCTGTTCTGTTTTTTTTTTTTTGCTGAAATTTGAAACATATTATTTACTATATTATCTAATGTATAAATCTCTTATCTATTAGAATTTCCTAATTAATGTGTTTAAATAGGTGCCACTGATGTATTTTATCTTTTATTTTGTTATTTTTAATGTAAGAAATTTCATTGGAAACCCTTTCAGAACAAAATCCATCTAACTTCACAAAATTGAATGGAGTTAATGGAATTTAATCAAAACTAAAACCATTGTATTAGCTTTCATCTTTGGGATTGTATATATATATATATATATATATATATATATATAACTTTTTTATGTTATATATCCTCAGAGATCCTCAGGCAAACATTTTGAGAAGCGAAGCAATTCATGATTCAAGTGCTCCTTTGGTAGTTTCATTTTCATCTCGTGGGCCAAATTTAATCACACCAGATATTATTAAGGTTCATCTTTATTTAATTGTTTGCTTCTCCTCTCACTTGTCCATTCTCTATCTTCAGTTTTATTAATTTCTCCTATATATGAGAATGTTTTGGGAAAATATATATTGCAGCCGGATGTAACTGCCCCAGGAGTAGATATTTTGTCAGCATTTTCGCCTATTGCTTCAGTATCTGACAGTAATGCAGATAAAAGATCAGTGAAGTATAGCATATTGTCTGGGACCTCCATGTCTTGCCCACACGTTACTGGTTCAGCTGCTTATGTCAAAAGTTTCCACCCTGACTGGTCGCCGGCTGCCATTAAATCTGCTCTTATGACTACTGGTAGCCATTTTCTCTCTAAGTTAGAGTAGTTTGATAAGCAAACATATATAGCTTTTAATAAGTCTTCATAATTAACTTCATCTTGAGCTTCATTTATCATGTGAAACTGGATTAATTAATCTAACACATACACACAAATAAAATTTCCTTATTTGTATGTGTAAAGCTCGGCCCATGAGTTCTGCCCAGAATGAAGACGCTGAATTTGCTTATGGTGCTGGCCATATAGATCCAGTGAAAGCTAGAAACCCTGGGTTGGTTTATGATGCCCAAAAAGGTGACTACATACAAATGCTCTGCAATATAGGCTATGACTCGAAGAGGGTTAGGCTTATATCAGGTGACAACAGCAGCAGTTGCCCAAAGCAGGCGAATGGTAAAGGTTCAGCTAAGGATCTCAATTACCCTTCAATGGGACTTTATATTGATGGATTCAAGGCATTCAACAGTAACTTTACGCGGACTGTTACCAACGTTGGCTTCCCAAACTCCACATACAAGGCAAAAGTAACTTCAGATTCTACTATGAAAATCAGCGTTAAACCCAGTGTTCTGTCGTTTAAAGCATTGAACGAGAAGAAGTCTTTTGTTGCGACTGTCGGTGGAAGTGCGCTATCATTAACGCACTCTACAGCGCGTGGATCATTGGTTTGGTCTGACGGAATTCATAGTGTGAGAAGTCCAATTGTCGTATATACATTTGATCATCGTCACCCCACCAATTAAGCGCAAGTATATATATATTCTCAAATTCACTACACAGTCGTGGGATATTTTCATTTTTCAATAATTGTAATGGGGAGAGCTTAATTGATGTCACTTTTAAAGTTTAAATCTCTCTCTCTCTGTCCTCTGTGTAAGTTGTTATCTTCTTTCTTTCTGGTGCCGTTTGGTTAATAATTAGGTCTGATTGAATGGCCACTCATGGTTTATTAAGTACTTTTCTTTACTCCTTTGACCTTCTTAAAGCCTTAAATAATAGTCTAGCCAGGCTTCTGAAGCAAATTAATCAAATATATAAATCTCACCCCAATACAATTTAATGACACTTGAAAGAAATTTGATTTTAAACCTTCAAATGCTACCTAGCTGTGTAAAACTAGGGATGTCAGTGGATATATAATTAGGTTAAGTGGTAAACCTGTCTTGACTATTGAGGTTTGGGTACGTCATATATGCTTCTTAATCAGGTTTAGGTTTAGCCGAACCCGTTGACATAGTAGCTTTGAAACTTTGTTAAATTTAGCCTTTGCCGGATGTAAGGGTAATATTCATGGGAGAGGGCTGGTTAATTTGGTTCAGTATCCCATTTTAGTAATTCATCATATCAGATTCGGGTTTGACTGTCTTTGGATTTCTTTTTTCTTTTTCTTAAAGCCATAAAAAGCATAATTCATTAATTCATGCTCAGATTACAAAGAGAGAGAGAGATGGATTGCACTCGGAACAGATGACCAGAAATTAAGCACATCTCAGTTTAAATGGTGGACGGACGGACAGGCATGGAGACTAGGTGTCTGTTATTACTATACCTAAGGTATTCTAAAGCTACGTTTGGTTTGAAGGGAAAAGTAGGGAAAGGAAAGAAAAGATAAGAAAACCTTCACAAACTTTGTATACGTCTCCCTATCATTCACTTCATTTCCCTACCTTTTCCTTCAAACCAAGCATAGCCTAAGTGTAGTACAGTGCGTCTTTCTGTCACATAATGGTAAAAACTAAAAACTACGGTTGGATATGGATCTATTGTTCTGTTCTCATCTCTTGTTCAGATGAAGGCTGGTTTTATTATGTAATGAAAATTTTCTAAATTTAGAAAGTTTGGGGAAATTCATTCCATGGGTAGAGGTTGTGGGATACATCTGTGAAAGATCGATATCGATATGAATCAGGTACTAAGGATGATTCCAACTTCCAAGGCGCTAATTCCAACAAACTTCTTGTTGAAGTAGATACATAGTTAAGTTAGAGAAGAACTTAACATAGCAGTTGAGGCCTTGAAGGTGGAGCCAAGTAGCAATAGGGCCGCAACTTGGGCAAGTCCAACTCGTTTTCAGGGTTCGGGCTGGGCCTGGGCCAGGAAATTGGAGCCTGACCTATTGGTTGAGTTTCAATTGAAGCTTCAGGTTGCTTGTCTCTGTCTAGTGTCTACCGAAACAAAAACAAAAACAAAAACAAGAAAAAGGCTTCGGGTAGCCCGAGCCTACCCAACCCAAGCCCTAGCCTGGTCTACGATCAAGCTTCGGTTGGGCCTGGGTTCATAAATTCAGAGTTAACCTCAGGTTGGGGTTTGCATTTTAAAACTGGTCATGGATTTACATTCAATCCGACCCGACCTGCCCAAGTTGCACTCCCAATGCAAGTATAATTAAATACAGGTTCAAGGCCAAAGGAGAAAAACAATGTCGATGCTACCTACCGTCAACCTTCCTCTAATCCTCCCTTGTGCAAGTCATGAACACAAGGAAAGAAAGAAAACATTGTTGTTTCTTATATGAAAGTTAAAGATCTTCTCTTCTTTGCTTTAGGCCATTTTTACTGGTGAGACTTTCACTGAAATATAAGCCAAATCCATGCAGCAAGAATTCCTCTCTGTGGAGTTGGGATCTGCTACCAACAAGCAGACGGTATGGGCTCCCCACAGCACATCCAGTCCCTCCCAAGTGTGGGGACATGTTCTCAACTCAAGGGAGGGATGGGCTGTGGGGTGCTCTGTGGATACAGCCCATCTGAACTCCCAGCATGGCCCCCAACTCGTTCTAAAGACTATAGTCGCACATCTGTAGCTACAAATCATGTTGGAAGCTCTTGGTAGAAGATCTTTGTAAGACAATTGTTCATATACAAAAATTGAGGGGTGAACGCTTCTTTAACAGAGGGGGATCTTTTCCATATGCAATTTGCCACCGTGGAGCCTATATATAAGCGTAATAGAAGGAGCCCACCATTACAATCCGATGGACCGATACAATCAATTTTGCTAGTAAAAACATTGAGGCTCAGTGTTTTTTAAGGAGTAAAAATACAAACATGTAGTGTGCAAATCTTGTTTTTTTTTTTTTTTGATAAATTCAAAGGGGGCTACACGAGACGGGGGAGGAAGGAAGCTTACACGGGTTCAAAGAGACACAACCATCCGCCGACAACTGGACCTCATGCGCATGGTGGGCCAGCCAATCAGCAGCCTGGTTCGCCTCCCTAAAAACATGGTTGTAGATAACCCCTTTCTCCCACCTCTCCTTCAGCTCCCAGAAGTTTTGAATGATGTGTAGGTTCCACAAACAAGGCACTATTTGCTAGGCAAAAAATCACTAACTTAGAGTCACCCTCTATTATGAGGGGATGATTTTTAAAACTTAATGCTAGGTTATGGGCTTCCCATGCAATCCAAGCTTCGGCTTTATTGATGGACACCAGCCCCAATCTGTAAGCTTTAAAATCCAAAATTTGACCTAAGTGGTTCCTAGCAACAGTAGCAATGATACCTTCTGGCCATGAGGCATCAAAGTTAATTTTAATAACTCCCATCTTAGGGGGATTCCACCTTATGAAGCTACACTTCTTGGGATTATTTTCTTTCTTGAGCTCCATCGAGTTGTCTTTAAATTCTGAATAGGAGCTAAGGACTCTATCAATGACTTTATTTTGGGCTGTCGAAATGTTTTTAAATATTCTCATGTTCCTGCTCTTCCAAAGCTGCTACCCTTTCCTCCTCATTTAGAAAATTTTTAGTAAGATCCACCCACCAATTTCTAAAGGCCACATCATGATTATCCAACTCTTGAATAGTTGGGTGAATAATCAACCAACAATTTTCTGCCACTGGACAACATCTGAAAATATGGTTAACATCTTTATCCTCTCCACAATCACATCCTCCTTTAGGAATGGCAACGGGGCGGGGCAGGGACGGGGAGCCTCTCCCCATCCCCATCCCCGTCCCCGTCCCTGCTAACGGGGATAAGGCGATCCCCATTCCTCGTGATTTTTTATAATGTTAACCATTTTGTTTTTGTTTTTATTTTATTTAAAAGAAATAAAAATAAAATAATTAAAACTTATTTTTCCGTTAAAAAATATTCAAACATATTCAGCCATATTTTTTAAAATATTAATATGTAGATGTATGTGTACATATATGCATATATACATATATATTAGTGGGGATCCCATAAGCGGGGATAAGGGTCCCCGCCCTTTCCTTGTCCCCGCTAACGGGGATGAAAATTTCCCCATCCCTACCCTATTTGGGGCGAATCCCCATGGGGATCGGGGAAATGGAGAATCCCTATCCTCCTTCAATGTTGACTCCCCTTCGACTAAGAAGAGACTAGTGGGGAGTCTATTATTCAGTAAAAGGAACATCAAAACTTGCAATTTTGGAGGACACTTGAGATTCCAAACAATCTTGTTCCGGTTAAGATTTAACACATGACTGCACTTCTATCTGTATGTAGACTTAGTGGAAAATTTTCCATTAGTATTAAACCACCAAATTAGTTTATCTTATTTTAGATCAGGTGGGATGAAAGTAACCTTGATCTTCATCCAAACATAGTTTGGAACAAGATTACAAATTTTCTCCATATTCCATACTTTACTTTCTTGATCAATCACATCACTAAGAGCTCTTCATTGACCATATTTTCTTGAGGGATCAAATCAGCAATGACCTTATCAACCAACCATCTGTCTCCAGATTTGCCATTGCCAATTTTCCACCCTAAACCATTAAGAAGAAGCTCCCTAACCCTAAGGATACTTCTCCAAGCCCAAAAAATTTCTTTATTGATCTTACCCAATATTGTTGTCATYAGTCAGAAATTTCCATCCTAATTTTGCTAGATTAGATTCACTGACCCATACAAGGTTTTTGAGCCCTAAGCCCCCCTTATCTTTAGGGGTACAAGTACTTTCCTAATTCATGAATCGGCTTCCTGCCATCGGATTTGGTCCAAAGAAACTTCTTATTTTTTTCAAAGTTAAACAAGCCGAAACATTTTTTTCAAAGCATAACAAGGCGAAATTCATTAGTTGAAATGGCAAATATATCTCGATTGATAATCATGTAAAAACGCAAGGAAACAATCTAAAATAAGGCAATAAGAAGTTAATAACCCAACTTTTCCCTGTTTCTTTGCAATTCATTCCCACTGCAATTTCATACTCGACTCAATTATTTTGGGTGATATTTGGTTAATAAGTCTATGCAAAAAAAAAAAAAGAGTGAAAAGGTAGAGAGACCACACAACTTCATTTCCATCAGTCACATTTTCATCCTTTGAACGCTAATGAAGGTTCCAAGTAAACTACTATAAGTGGCAGCCAAGCAGCAGTAACAATGGCTCAAGTAGTAGATTAGAGGGGGTAAAGGTAGAATCTTTGAATCTCCCATTGAGAACAGCAACAAACAGTCTTGCTTGCAAGCAAACCTCAAGGAGATTGGGGCCATCCAAACGCAACATCTTCCCCAAATCCTTCATAGAAACTCAACTCTAACCCTCCAAACCTTTCTTCATCATCCCAAACCCCATCAGAGATCTCTCCATCATACAGTTCGCCAGCAACAAAATCCCACGCCAAGTAACCAGAAGAATCTGAGCAATCCGAGAAATCATCCCAGTAATTCCTCTCGTAACAATCTACTATTAGGGGCCCCAGGACCTTCAGCCCTGGACATTTCTCTTTGAGGAACTTCTCATCAAGCTTCACATCCCAACACCCTCTCACATCCAAGAATTCAAGTTCCCGACAGTTGAGGAGGATCTCAAGCAAACCCCCTGTAGTAATGAGCAGGTAGGCCATCTCAAGGTGCTTAAGCTTGGGCATTGTGGTGGCAATAGCATGGGCTTCGTCATTCTGCGAGATCTTGTCAGCCACCTCCAATGGATGCATGACACGCTTCAACCCAACCAGCAATTTACAGTGCTTCCCTATCGCCTCTAATGCACGGGCACCAATATTCTTACAGTAACTTAGGTCCAAGAAAGAGATGGTAGACAGCCTCCCTGCTACCTGTTCCACCATTGAATCACTTATTTCACTCATCGGCAGGTGCAAAGTCTGAAGGGATGCAGAACTTGCAAAACAAATAAGAATAAACCCCAAATCAACAAATCGGCTAGTAGAACAAAGAACCAAAAATGAAAAAGCACTAAAAATATCATCTGAAATCTGTCTGTGACTATGAGTTGCAAGGGAGCTACTTAAGTTTTGCATAAAGTAGGAATTAGGATCTAAATGGTGAATGGATAGAGGTGGTCTTCTTACTGGTCTGCAATGAAGGAGAGAAGAGGCTCATTGGGAAGGCCAGACACACAGAGTTTGCGTAGGGATCCGCAGCTTCTTGTGATGAGCATTTTAAGCATTCGATCTAGCTGCTCAGGCTGGCACTGAAGGCTCCACTCCTTAATGTCAATCTCTTGCCAGCAATAGGGACCCATTATTGCTCTGTTCCAAGATTTGCAGACCCTCGGAATCACAGTAAGAATTTCCTGAAGAGAAAGATTTTTGAAGATTAGCCCGAGAGCATCGGGTATTAGTTCATCCCAGCAGCGGAACTCGCCTCCCTCCTCCATCTAAATTTCCTTCAAAACAAAGGGGAAAGAAAGAAGGTCTCTCAGCTTTTCTTCATTAATCACAGGAAGACAAATAGTAATAAAGAATTCACACGCAGGACACTACGAAGAAAGCCCTCTTACACAACTAATAGAAAACCAGTGGGAAAATGTCAAGAAATCATGACCCAAATGCAAAACCCAAGGCAAAAGTGAAAGATCTATCATCAGCAGAAGCAGAATCAGTATACATCCGATATATAGATAAAGATTTCCTCTCAAAAGAATAGGAATCGCCCACGTATTCCAAATACAAAGGATAGACAAAAAAAGAGAGAGAACTCAAGCACACATGGTGCATGAAATAGAAGTGATAGAAGTGAAGAAGATTAAAAAATTACAGAAGATGGGTAACAGAAACAGGCTGCCGGAAGAAAAAATATATAAAAGAAATCTTAGAAAAGCGAAGGGGAAAGAAACACGAAAACCCTTATTCTTCCCCTTCTTCCAGTTCCAGGTCACAATTAATACGCCGTACAAGAAAAAGAATTCGCTTTTAATGAAATAAAACTTTTACATTCTCTCGCAATAGCAAGCCAGAGGCCCAGATCGCCCGATGGGTGTGTATGACTTTGAGGAGGAGGCAATTGAATCCACAGGCCACAGCGAGAAAAAGATATAGATAAACAGAGTTCTGTCAATCAAAATCTCCGGACAAGAACTGAGCAAGAAACTAAAAGCCTAAACGTGAAAAGAAAGCAATAATAAACACCTATACCGATCAATCATAATCAGATAAAATGAAGAAAAAAAATAAGATAAAGAGCAATCAAAGCAGAAGTATTATAGGCTTATAGCAGAACATCTGCACTAGACTACGAAAAGTGTCAAGAAACACAAGCAAACGATAGGAAAAAGGAACAAAATCATCGCAAGGTATTAGCATTGAAGCAAAAAATGAAAAAGTGATTGTTGTTTCCGGTAATTCAAGACCTCCAAAGAGGAGAGGACTACAAGAAAGCAAAGAAAGAAAGTATGTCACCCAGAAAGGAGTAAAGAAATACATTATGACTATAGGCATACCCAGAAAGAAAAGGAACAATTCTTCTTCGCCTGACTGCGTTTACTTGAATCGGCAAGGCTGGCCGGTGTAATGGTTTATCCCCGTGAGAGAGAGGTGCAGAAGTGCAGATACACCAACCTACAAGATTACAACTATACAAGATCAACAGCAGCACCAAAAGAAAACAAAGAAAGGGTATAGGGACAAAAGCAGTAAAGACCCAAACAAGGAAAATGGAAGAAGGTAAATTGATGGAGGAAGAGATGCAAATGGGAATTCTCGCTGGCGCTGCTTTTACTCTCTGTCATGCTAATAAAAGTTAAAGATTTTAATGGTGTTTTTTTTTTTTTTTTGAAAAGAATGGTGGTTACAACTTATAAATAATTAATAATAACAATCTGCAAATGCCAAGTGCCAAGTGCTAACAGTAACAGCTTACAGCTCTAAAGGTTGTAGAATTTCCACTTTCGGTTGGATCTTTTGGTTGAAACTAGAAAAGTTGAGGCAAGGGGAAGATGAATGTAGGAGTGGGTTAGCAGTGCTTCCCGAGGCCGGATCAACCGACACGAGTCGGTAGTTCAGACGGGTATGAGTAATTGCACTGTGAATGAAGACTAGTCTACAAGTCTACATTCTACAAACAAGGAAGACCCCAAAGTCCTCCATTACTGGGAGGACTTGGCTCATGTGAAATGGGTTTTGTTTGGTCTTGGTCTTGGGGCTTTAAATGTCATTTTAATGAACAGAGTTAATAGACTTTGGAACCTATCTCATTTTTCAAACCTTCATTTACTATGGCCCTCACGCTGAGTCTGACACTGAAATCTCTTTCTCCATCCCCAGTAACAACCAGTCAACTGGGCTTCGTTTTCCGTTTTGTTTATCACGACATGAATTAATTATGCTTGTCTTTTGTAGTTATGTTACAATGACAACAATGCTGCAACATACTGGTGGGGGTTTAAACTTTGAACTTTGAAACAGAAAAAAAGCAGCTGTGTGAGTATGAATCAGGGCCTTTTTTGTAGAAAGGCATTGATGAAGGTAGGCTTCCCATCCCACTTCCTGGCGTGCAAACTGCATCAAATCACTTAATTCACCCTATCTTCTATTCTGTTCTTTCATGAAACGCAGCTCACCAAGGGAATATTGAAAGAATAGATGTCCCCTCGCACACTAGTTGCAGTCCGTGTGCAAAGGCCTCTGGATTGAAAGWAAATAAGGTCTCGTTTGGTTGGGATCTAAAATCAGTATTAGAATGGGCTATTTTGATTTCAACTGTTTCGTTGAACGAAATCGAAATCTCATTTCCATTCTTGCTTGAATAGCATTCTCCCATTTGAGGGAATGGCCATTTCCTCCCCTCCCTTGAAAATGAACTCATTCCTGCTTATTTCAATTCTCATTATCTGAACTAAACAGATTATGGGAATAGTGCATTTTGATTTTGATTCCAAAGGATTTCGGTTGCGATTGCAATTGCAACTGTAAACCAAACAGACCCTAACTAATTTTATCTGTCCAAAGTATTGTAGATAATTTATGTGGCCTTCGATTTCATCATTTCATGGTTCCGAAAAAGAGTGGTATGGTTCCAAAACTATAACACTCTTTCTCGAAAATGATAATATTTTTATCTTGAATCATACAATGCAAAAATGATTGTTCCGTTCATGGTTCATATTTTGAACCATGATATGTAAGCATTGATTGCATAATTCATGTCCTATGGTCATCATCAAATAAAAACATTATAATTGGAGTCATATTGATGTGCGAAACACATAGAGGGGTGTTTATAACCCGGTTTAGAAAAATCTCACACCATATCAATAAATTATGGTCTAAGAAATTCTTAGGTCAAACCAAACTATTTTATTAAAGTTTGGTCCAAYATATAATACCATTTGGGCGGGTCAAATTTAGCGAGCTATCATATATTCTGAACAAAATTAGACCATTTCTAAGTCCAAACCAGACCAAACTGCTAATTTTAGTTTGGTTTGACAATCGAGCCTTACAGCGTTTGGAAACAGTGCAAATAGGGTGTAAACGCTGGCCTAGTGCAAATATGCACTCTCGTTCAGTTTTGTTAGCGTTTGGTAAGAAAGCATTTTGTGTATTGACAATGGTAGAAAACACAATTTTCAAGGCATGTTATCACCTAAAATGAGAGGAAATTTTACATAAAAAATAGAAATAAATTTGCATTCAAAGTTGTTAATGTTAAAAAATGTGTATTAATATATCTAGGGGTGCAACTTTTCCRGGTTAGGGTTGGGATTTTGTCAAACTTTTCCCGATTGGGAGAAAAATCTCAAGTCTCATACCTGGGTGAAACAATGGTACAAATATTTCAATAGCGACAAGTTCAGTGGGGTTCTGTTATGTGATACAGGGTCGGTGGTGACAGAGAGGACAGGGGACAAGAAGAGCTGAAGACAAGGGAGGAGAAAACGAAAGAAAATGAGAGAGAAAGAGAGGGGGGTAAGCAAACACACCACCGAAYTAGTTCAGTGGTGTTCCGTTCAGCGTTGAGTGCCTGCAGCCATTTTCGTATTACTTAATTCTTTGTTTTGTACAATCCTAGTTCGTGAGTTGCAATTAACACTAAACAAATATTTTTGGGTTCTGTTTTATTCTTTTAGAAAAATGATAAACAGTGTTTCAGCAATGATTATAAAAGATAATTCAACCAATTTAATGTTGGAGGAAGGAAGTCGTTTCTGATTTATCGTCTGTTTCTTGGCTAACTTGTGGAAGAACACTTATCATGTTGTTCTGGTTTAATTTCAGTTTTAAGGAAGAAGACAATGAACAGTATTTTCTTTAAAAAGATAATTTTGAGCTTTCAGAATATTATAAATCATATGACATCACATACATCAGTTAGATGAAAGATTACTAATGATGAATACTAAATTGACAGTTTCTGAAAATTTGGATACTGGACTGGAATGACATGTTTTGAAGTTCAGGTACTAACTTGACACTACCCCAAAAGTTCAGGGTATTACATTTAAATTTTCCCTTTTTTAATCTACCATTCCATTCCATGGTGAAGTTGTTTAAAGCTCACTTTAATGATTTATTCCTTTAGTGACCAAAATTGTAACAGACAAATGAACAAAAATCAAGAAAATGGTATTTTATGGTATAAGGCACTTAGGTGGATTCCGCCAGGATTTTTTCTTTGGGTGTGGGGTGTTCGAAATCCAACATGTATTAGTGATGTATTGCAACAGAAATGCTCCAAAATTATTTAGGATGAAAGACAAGATTGGACCTTGAGGAGGAAAGAAAAACCTCATGGAAAAACAAATTCCTCTCTGGTTCTTGAGTAATGCATTTCCTGTCTGGTTCTTGAGTAATGCATCCACCTCTTAATGAAATGCATTCTATTATTAGCAAGCAGTAAAATGGAGGACGAGAGAAGGTTCAGAGTAGTAGGAAGGTGGAGGTCTGAGGTGTCGATCGAAGCCAAGACTTTCAAGTTCGAAGAGGAAAGGATCAAAGGTGAGGA